ACGCATTCTTCACTCTAACCACCGCGCGGTCGACTTAATAAAAAGCAGAAAAGTTGTAACGTCGCACGAATGACAGACAAAGAATGTTTTCAGCAGCATACCTATTAAAACGAGTCGGAATTAGAATAAAAAGGGATTTAAACGTGAAAACGCCCTATTAGTCACATTCTATTGGAGCGATGTTCATTTGAATTTGTTCAATTGTTCATTACATTTTCGTTCGGCACGCACACAAAAGACACTTCAGCAGAAACTGAAGCGCAAATGAAATTAGTGAAAGACAAAATTTTTGACTTCATCTTTCCATCTATCCAGCTCAAAACGAAATCTACTCGCCAATTATATGCTCTTTTCATCAACAATTAGCGACATGTTAACTTAATCAAGTAGCAAGCCGCATGATGACCAGGAGAAAGTTTGACCGTTCGTATCTAACAGTCTCTGCCCGAGGAAAAATAACAAAAATACCTTCAGAACATGCTTGTACATGTCATTCTCTCTCATAGCACCAAACTTGTTATACTCGGCATAAGCAGCATTCCCTTCAAAGTCTTCCAAGTCCACACGCAGCACGCCGTCATTATCTGAGGTCAGGCGGTAAATGTTGTCCAGTCCGAGCCAAGATTCACCATTCAGATCACCGAAACCAACTTTATTATCACACCATTTAAACGTAAAAATGCACTGAACCGGTCAGTCTCTTCTGGAACACTGTCCACCCTCTCCGGCTGTTGTTTGGTCACATCAAAGGCAGGTAAATCAGGGGTGGATCCAGAAAATTCAGAAAGAGGGGGCCGAGTCCCCCACCCTCCCCCCCGAATGAAAAACTTCACTTTTTAGGAGATGCAGCATACATGATTGTGGGCGTATTCGTGATGTAAAGTAAAGTAACCTTGCGTTTCGGAAGATAGAATTAAAGAGCTTTTTATAAAACGATTTTCAAAGCAAAATCGTAGTGTTAGTGGTAGGCGAACTGTTAACAGAGCCATTGCATTGCATTTATACATCCAGTATTAATCGCACTGCAGTGGATTGACGTCATCCATCTCTGGTTTCGTTTGGCGTACTCGTCAACAACTGCATTATAATTTAAAGCTATGTCTTTGTGAATAAAGAGCAGCAACAGTGCATTTAGAAGTTCTTCTCCCATGGTGCTGCGATAAACATTCTTCACAAAGCGCAGTGAAGAGTTGCTACGTTCAACAGT